GGAAATTCTTGAGTCGCTGCAGAATTGGCGGCTCCCCCAGAAGAGCTCAGCTCCATGAGTAAGTAAGTAAGTAAGTGGGGTGGGACTAAGTCCCTTGTAGTGCGGCCATTTCTGGCCTACTGTACCAGCTCCAGATGATAGGTGAGGGTGAATATGGAGCAATTGGTAGAATGAAGATTGGCAAGGGAAACTGAAGTACTGGGAGAAAACCTGCCTCAGCCCCACCTGACCAGACCGGGGACCGAACCCGGGCCGCTGTGGTGGGAAGCCAGCGACTAACTGCTTGAGCTATGGCGCGGCCTTGTGATCATGGCTTAATTGAGGTACTATTCTGGAATTTACATGGGTAGACTGAGGTACACCATGAAAAGCCTCAGCCAGAATATCCATTGTCCTGGCCAAAATTTGGACAAACACAAGCCCACAGGGTCACTGACACACCATCCTACTTAGCAGTATGACTCCAGAACTGTACACAAAGTGATGAAAACTAGCAAACGTTTAGTGGCTGATTTTGAACCATCACTGACATGGCAATATTTCATTTACATAAATATTTGCAAAATTTATGGGCCCAATTCTTTTCTGTATACTTCTGCTTCACAGATGTGATCATTGAAGGGCAGACATTTATACTGGGGAGACGTGGGGATACTGTCTACAATAGAAACCAGAGGCGGGGACCTAATGCGTTGTTTCTAAATAGTTCGAAAGTGGAGAGCTTTGCTATTCAGTGCCACTAGCACAGCTCTTTGCAGACTAAACATAAATATGTTCCTCGAATTATCAACAACAAAAACCATCATCTTTGGAGAGAGTACATAGAACAAAACTGGTGGGATATCTTAAATTGAATTGTACTCTTGGAAAGAGAGTCTTAGAACTGGAGTGAAGGAGTTTTATCAAATTCAATTTCATCCTTTGAAAGTGACATGAAACAAAGCTGAAGGACTAGGTGAATTTGAATTTAACCTATGTAAAATGTAAAAAGGTAAAGCTATCCCTGTAACAGGCTGTAGAGGCTCCCATATTTTCTAGACGATTGGCTCATGGATAGCGGTGAGGTTGTCAGCCTCACATGCCAGCCGCCCTTTACCCCGCCAGGAAGATTCCTGCTACTCACTTCTGTTAGAGGCTGAGTCTTCCCCATGGCCAAAGTGTGGCTAGAATGATTAGTTCGAATGAAAAATCAAATGACCTTATTGGAAAATGAGCCTGCAACCTTCCTTCCGGGTTGAAGCTGCATTACACTATGAAATGAAACATCAAAAATGTACATTATACATATAGTCTACATTCACTCACTCATTCACTCATGGAGCTGAACCTTTCTGGAGAAGCCACTAATTGTGCAGTTACTCAAGAACCTCCCAGCATCACAAGGTTCATTACCATGTTCACAAGAGTCCTCCACCGGTCCCTATCTGAACCAGATCAATCCAAACCATACCATCCCATCTTATCTCTAAAATATCCATCTTAATATTGTCCAGTCACCTGCACCTTACTCTTCCCAGTGG